ATTTAATATATTAAATTTTGATAGTTTAATTGATGCATTTGCAGTAGCAAAAGCACGAACATAATGTAACCATGAATACCAGAATGCTACCTGTACAAGATCTAGTTAAGTATATGTACAGTTTTGTAAACTAATAAAATTTGTTATTTGTAAACTTAAGTAGTATTTTATCAATCTGTTTTATAATCCATGTACACCACAAGTGACTGGCTTCTCATTATAAAACATAAGTTTTAAAACTAGGGATATAACAGAACAATATTCTGCATGCTTGAAAGATTACTCTAGCTATGTGACTTTGAACAACACTGGATGACATAAATATCAAAATGGTTTACAAATTATGTAAGTACATCGAGTAGGCTATACTTCATTAGTTCCAGGTTTACAGTTGTGATATCATTAGATGTTATATTGTGACTTTATTTTAGGCCTGTGTAAGGCGGTAATTAATTCTTTATGTTATTGTCATTAAGTGGGTAATGAGTCACAACATTTCAGAGGTGGGGGCGCCAAAAATGTCTTTGCCCCCGGGTGCTGAGAACCCTTGCCACGCCACTGGGAAAGATAGTCTTCCCTCACCTGTTCTCCAGGAAAACGACGAACATGAATCCTACCATCAGCTTTAATAAGCCGGAAATAGGGTTCATCTGAAAATATGACATGTCACCAGATTTCTAACTGTAAATTGTCATGCTGTCTTGCCCAAGTGACATGGCGACGGCGATGAATTTTAGTTAATATCGGCTTGCAGATAACCTTTCTTTCAAAATAACTAAGTTTGGTTAGCCTCCTACTCACTGTTCCTCTAGATACGCTGGAATGAATTTGTTTCTGCCATTCCTGTCGTAAGGGGTTTCAAGACTTCTTTCGACCTTGACGTGTTAACCTGATCAAAACACGGTCATCTCGGGCAGTAGTTTTCGGCGTCTACAAGTAGACTTTCTTGGAACAACTTTTACTTTATTCCGGTGATGTTTCAGGATTCTGGATGCAGTATATTGAAGGAACCCTGTTGTTCTGGCAATGTCCGTTTACTTCATACCATGTCTGTACTACAATTGAACAATTTTACGTCCTATAACTTCTGGCACGTGACGAGGCATGACTCTACACCAAGTACTGAGAAATTGTTTGAACAAAGCATTGATCTGTTTCAAAAAAGATTATATAAAAAGCACAACGAACAAATGCTCAAAACAACTTATACAGACCAGAATAACAACTCGTAATTGTTTGTCAGATCATACGCTACCTTCTGTGTTACTACTTGGGCATTTACTCAATACCTATACCATGCATGTAAACAATAACATTAATATAAAACAGTATGCAAACATGTTGGCTAAAACTGTACATTAACTGCTCAACAAAAGACTAACTAAATATGCTAAGTTTTTTTTCTTGTTGTTTTAATGAAGTTGATTATAATAATATTGTAGTGTACTTCAAAATCACGTGTAATTTGTTTTCTCTTGAAAAAAAAAAAAGAGTTAGAGGAGATCCGGTTAAGGTATTCAAGAGTATTAATAGAATTTATAGTATTTATGCATCATTTTTTTTTTTGTATTTAATGGTGAGACTATGGGACAAAAATATAAATTTTGGCAGGGTAGGAGTCATCTTCAGCTAAGACAACTTTATTTTTCTAACAGATTGGTTGGCCTTTGGAACGGACTGTCTTCAGATGTAGTTCTTTGTTATTCAGCACAAAGCTACATAAAAGTGCCCTGCCCACCATAGGTCTCGAAACCTGGTTTCTAGCAGTATAAGTGGCAGACATACCGCTGTGCCACTGGGGGGCTTCAGATGTGGAAGATGCAGCTAATTTAAGGGAGTTTAAAGGAAAGCATGATAAATATTTGAATGATAAGTACTGGCTTTGAGTTTTTGAAGTGTTTAGTTTAATTTAGTGGATAGGACGGCCTAGATGGATCGGAAGGTCCCTTGTTATTTTTTAATGTTATGTTAATTGTTCTAACACTGTGATATATGACTAGAAAGGATGTTGTGATATGTAATGTTTTAATAACAACAACAAAATCATCGACCATTTCCAATAGGAGCTTTAAGATTAAACGACTTCAATTTCTTTTTTTTTTAATCAGCTAAAATGAGTTTCTGGATATAAGCTTAGGAGTAAACATTACTATTACACAGGCCTGCGAATTAACATTTTATAAAAGTTATTTTGATTTTAATAACGGATTTTCCATAATTCAGCTATGCAGGTTTCAAAATAATATTTATTTTTTTCTATCACGTAAGAAATTTTTACAAATCGGGAAGAAGAAAAACTCTTATTTACATCAAATTATTATTTCGTTTACCACAATGAATATTTTTATTATCATGTTTGTTAACAAAAAAAATACAAACAAATTGAAGAAAAGGGAAGAAAGTTGATGTCAAACCAATATGCATCCTCATCCATCCTGATTTTTTTGTGAAATCTACGTGTTGTGGTCTTTCTTTTATGTATTGCGTTATGACGTTTTGTGAAACATCCGTACGTGTTGGAGAAAAATTTATATAGTTTTCGGATTCAGTGTACAGGAATTGCTGAAGAACATGTAAAAATTTCAAGACAATAAAACCATCGCA